CCACGCCACTCACTCACTCAACCACCACGCCACTCACTCAATCAACCACCACACCACTCACTCACTCAACCACCACACCACTCACTCACTCAACCACCACTCACTCACTCACTCAACCACCACGCCACTCACTCACTCAACCACCACACCACTCACTCACTCAACCACCACTCACTCACTCACTCAACCACCACGCCACTCACTCACTCAACCACCACACCACTCACTCACTCAACCACCACTCACTCACTCAACCACCACGCCACTCACTCACTCAACCACCACGCCACTCACTCACTCAACCACCACACCACTCACTCACTCAACCACCACTCACTCACTCACTCAACCACCACGCCACTCACTCACTCAACCACCACGCCACTCACTCACTCAACCACCACACCACTCACTCACTCACTCAACCACCACTCACTCACTCACTCAACCACCACGCCACTCACTCACTCAATCACCACACCACTCACACACTCAACCACAACACCACTCACTCACTCACTCAACCACCACACCACTCACTCATCCACCACGCCACTCACTCACTCAACCACCACGCCACTCACTCACTCACTCAAACACCACCCCACTCACTCAACCACCACGCCACTCACTCACTCAACCACCACGCCACTCACTCACTCAACCACCACGCCACTCACTCACTCAACCACCACGCCACTCACTCACTCAACCACCACGCCACTCACTCACTCAACCACCACACCACTCACTCACTCAACCACCACACCACTCACTCACTCATCCACCATGCCACTCACTCACTCAACCACCACGCCACTCACTCACTCAACCACCACGCCACTCACTCACTCAACCACCACGCCACTCACTCACTCAACCACCACGCCACTCACTCACTCAACCACCACGCCACTCACTCACTCAACCACCACACCACTCACTCACTCATCCACCACGCCACTCACTCACTCAACCACCACGCCACTCACTCACTCAACCACCACGCCACTCACTCACTCAACCACCACGCCACTCACTCACTCAACCACCACACCACTCACTCACTCAACAACCACTCACTCACTCACTCAACCACCACGCCACTCACTCACTCAACCACCACACCACTCACTCACTCAACCACCACTCACTCAACCACCACGCCACTCACTCACTCAACCACCACGCCACTCACTCACTCAACCACCACACCACTCACTCACTCAACCACCACTCACTCACTCCACTCACCACCACGCCACTCACTCACTCAACCACCACGCCACTCACTCACTCAATCACCACACCACTCACTCACTCAACCACCACTCACTCACTCACTCAACCACCACGCCACTCACTCACTCAATCACCACACCACTCACACACTCAACCACAACACCACTCACTCACTCAAACACCACGCCACTCACTCACTCACCTCAACCACCACACCACTCACTCATCCACCACGCCACTCACTCACTCACTCAACCACCACGCCACTCACTCACTCAACCACCACACCACTCACTCATCCACCACGCCACTCACTCACTCAACCACCACGCCACTCACTCACTCAACCACCACCCCACTCACTCACTCAACCACCACTCACTCACTCACTCAACCACCACACCACTCACTCACTCAACCACCACGCCACTTACTCACTCAACTACCACGCCACTCACTCACTCAACCACCACTCACTCACTCACTCAACCACCACGCCACTCACTCACTCAACCACCACGCCACTCACTCACTCAACCATCACACCACTCACTCACTCAACCACCACGCCACTCACTCACTCAACCACCACGCCACTCACTCACTCAACCACCACACCACTCACTCACTCAACCACCACACCACTCACTCACATCAACCACCAAGCCACTCACCTCACTCAACCCACCACCACTGCACATCACTCACTCAACCACCACGCCACTCACTCACTCAACTACCACGCCACTCACACACTCACTCAACCACCACACCACTCAGCTCACGCAACCACCACGCCACTCACTCACTCAACCACACGCCACTCACTGACTCAACCACCACGCCACTCACTCACGCAACCACCACTCACTCAACCACCACACCACTAACTCACTCAACCACCACTCACTCCTCACTCAACCACCACGCCACTCACTCACTCAACCACCACGCCACTCACTCACTCAACCACACCACACCACTCACTCACTCACTCAACCACCACTCACTCCCACTCAACCACCACGCCACTCACTCACTCAACCACCACGCCATCCACTCACTCAACCACCACTCACTCAACCACCACACCACTAACTCACTCAACCACCACGCCACTCACTCACTCAACCACCACTCACTCAACCACCACACCATTCACTCACTCAACCACCACGCCCCTCACTCACTCAACCACCACTCACTCACTCACTCAACCACTACACCACTCACTCACTCACTCAACCACCACACCACTCACTCACTCAACCACCACGCCACTCACTCACTCAACCACCACGCCACTCACTCACTCAACCACTACACCACTCACTCACTCAACCACCACACCACTCACTCTCAACCACCACCACCACTCACTCAACACCACACCACTCACTCACTCAACCACCACGCCACTCACTCACTCAACCACCATGCCACTCACTCACTCAACCACCACTCACTCACTCAACCACCACACCACTCACTCACTCAACCACCACACCACGGACTCACTCAACCACCACTCACTCACTCAACCACCACGCCACTCACTCACTCAACCACTACACCACTCACTCACTCAACCACCACACCACTCACTCACTCAACCACCATGCCACTCACTCACTCAACCACCACGCCACTCACTCACTCAACCACCACGCCACTCACTCACTCACTCAACCACCACGCCACTCACTCACTCAACCACCACTAACTCACTCAACCACCACGCCCCTCACTCACTCAATCACCACTCACACACTCACTCAACCACCACACCACTCACCTCACCTCAACCACCACTCCACTAACCTCATTCAAACCACACTCCACTCACTCAACAACCCACCTAACTCACTCACTCAAACCACCACGGCCAATCACTCACTCAACCACCACCACTCAGTCACTACTCAAACACCACACCACTCACTCACTCAACCACCACCCCACTCACTCAGCATCAACCTCCAACACCACTCACTCACTCAACCACCACGCACTCACATCACATCAACCACCACTCACGTCACTCAACCACCACACCACTCACTCACTCACTCAACCACCCACCCCACTCACTCACTCAACCACCACTGACCACTCTCACTCACTCAACCACCACACCACTCACTCATCATCCACCACGCCACGCCACTCACTCCCACCACCACACCACTCACCTCCACTCAAACCACCACGCCACTCAACATCACTCATCCACCACGCCACTCACTCACTCAACACCACGCCACCTACTCACTCCACCACCACACCACTCACTTCACCGCAACCACCACGCGGCACTCACTCACTCACCACCACACCACTCACTCACCTCATCCACCTCGCCACTCACTCACTCAACCACCACGCCACTCACACACTGCAACCACCACACCACCCATCACTCACTCATCCACCCGCCACTCACTCACCACCACGCCACTCACTCACTCAACCAACACGCCACTCACTCACTCACCACCACGCCACTCACTCAACCACCACTCACTCACTCAACCACCACTCACTCACTCATGCACCCACGCCACTCACTCACTCAACCACCACGCCACTCACTCAACCACCACGCCACCACTCACTCACCAACCACCACACCACTCACTCACTCAACCCCCACGCCACTCACTCACTCAACCACCACGCCACTCACTTCAACCACCACACCACTCACTCACATCATCCACCACGCCACTACACTCACTCAACCACCACGCCACTCACTCACGCAAACCACCACGCCCACTCACTCACTCACTCACCACCACACTACTCACTCACTCATCCACCACGCCACTCACTCACTCAACCACCACGCCACTCACTCACTCAACCACCACGCACTCACTCACACCACCACCACACCACTCACTCACTCAACCACCACACCACTCACTCACTCATCCACCACGCCACTCACTCACTCATCCACCACGCCACTCACTCACCACCACGCCACTCACTCACTCAACCACCACTCACTCACTCAACCCCAACGCCACTCACTCACTCAACCACCACTCACTCACTCAACCACCACGCCACTCACTCACTCAACCACCACACACGCACTCACTCACTCAACCACGACGCCACT